CTAACTCTCCAATGCATAATGGTAAAGAAAGGAGATTGTTGCTTGAATAAAAGATCAAAGAAGAAAAGTAGAAGTCACAATGAATCAAAATTATTCAATTTCAGCATTCAAATTAGACACGAAGTCAATTTAATACTCTTTCTATCTCAAAATAATTGTTATCTTTTTTGTCCTTCTTTTGCAAAGCAAAGATGGATTTATTGCTTGGGAGTATAAAGAATACTCTCATCCATTACATTCACATTAATTGTCTAATGAAAGGTTACAGTAAAACAACTAGTATCTTTTTAACTTTTTCTTTAAATTAAGAACTTGGAGACTTTTCTACTATTCCACAATAAGAAAAATTATATTATTATTTAATAAATACTTTAAAAAAATTTATATATTAATATGACTATTAAATTATATAAGATATTAATTAAAATTAATTTAATTTTAATAAAATAACACTTTAATAAAATATCGTGTGAAAAAAACACTATAAAAATACAAGCCCAAACACAACCTAGGTCATTTGTTTTGGTCTTACTAACTTTCGTCTCAAATAAGTAAGCCCCTCAAAGTAACTTGCATGTACTATTTGACTCCCTTTACTACACAATCCTTCACTTGATACACGTGGATTTTCTCTTTGCTTTAGTTTTTGAGTGGGTGATTTTAATCAATGAGTTTTGTTGTTTTTCCACTAACTCTGCAATGCATAATCATTAAAGAAAAATGATTGTTGCTTGAAGAAGAAAAATGAGAAGTCACAAAGCACCAAAATCATTCCATTTTAGTATTCCAATTAGACGTAGAGCAAATTTAGTATTTTTTTAATCTCAAAATAATAATTATTTTTTTTCAAATTAAGAATTTAAGGACAATTTATGTATTTATTTATATTACCCTTATAAAAGAAATGAAAAATTAATAAATAGAGATTTTTTGTGATAAAATGATTAATTAAAGTAAATAGATAATGATAAGTTTAAAGTATAAAAAAATTAATTTATTTTAGAAATAAAATAACTGATAATTAATTTAAAATAAATTTAAAATAAAAAATAATTATTATTTTAAAATAGAGGGAGTAACACATTAACACCAGAGAAAACTACCAGCTATTCTCACCCAACTCTTTCTCCTAACTTTAAATTTAAATGCAAAAGCTGTAGAGTAAAGGGGCTTATTTGGTACTACAATAATTTTGAAAGGCTCCTTTGAGATGAAAAGTTAGTGAAAAAGATTGATTGAAACAAAAGAATTAATTAATTAAAGGTCTAATCTTACAATTATTCCGGAGGAGGTATAATATCAACTTGATCTTTTGCCATAAAAAAGAGAACCTCCCAAAGAAAGAAAAAAAAATGTAGGTCCCCAGTCCCCTCGTCAAGGCCTGATGGGGAAGGCACAAATGAGGATTTTTTTTTTCTTTGGCACCCTATTCATATTGGATAGTGATATCATTTTCGGAATTATCATAGATATATTTTTAAGGTTTCAATATTAAACCTTTAACATAGAGACTTAATTTCCAATTGTTAGGATGTATGAAACACAAGGGTTTCTTCTAGGACATGCACACTTAATCAAAGAGATAACATATAAGAAAGTATATAATAACACATAAGAAAGTATATCTTTCTTTTTTAGGGTTGAATTTATTGGTAAGTTAGTGTTCTTTTGTAGATTAGGTTTATGATTTTAATTGCCTAGAGTGTATGCCCTTAAAATTGATTTGAAAGAAATTAGTTTTAATATGTGTGCAAACTAGTTCAAAAACATGTATGCTAACTATATAAACGAAAAAGGCATACTTTTTTTTTATATATATGTTGAACTGCATAATAAGAGACAACCTTCCCATATCTCTTAACCTCACCCTACTCACATGTTATGTGAGTTAAATTCAAGATCTTTTATTTTTAAAGGAAAGACAACACCACTAAATTATTTAAGTGGTTTGTAACAAATTTTTTAAAAAAAGGCATACTTTATGTACATGCTTTGTCTTTACATTCATGTTTGCATGCTCAAAGGCGGCTCTACTATTAGAATAGAAGACAAACAAACTGCTTCATATGGAAGAAGAAACCAACTCAAACTCAAAAACTGCAACCAAATCCTCCCACAAATTGTCCAACACTTTGCACAAAAGCTTATTTAACATGTGAAATTATTTGAAGGGGAGGAAAATGTTGTATCTAATTAAGTATCTAACCTTCTTTCCTTTGTTTTCACGTTTAGTCTCAAAATCATCAATGGCCCATCATCTTTTTTTATTCTAATCATCATTTTTTTTTTTGTGTGTGTGTTTAATAGTTAAGGTGTCCTCAAATCAATTTACACATATTTCAAGATTAATTTCCTCCAAATTTAGTTAAAAACAAGTCATCTAACTAAGAACTAAGAAATTCATAAAAAATTACCTCTTCATTAGCTTTTCAAAAATCAAATCTTGGTTAATAAAATAAGGAACAATTCCTTTACCAACTAAGACACAACTCTTTGGTTATCATCACTTGATACCATAGGGTAAGTTGGTGCAAGTTGAGATTCATGCACATTAAAATTGAGTTATATGCCAACTATTCATCTGAATATAGAATTTATAAGAAAATTTATCTATGTGATGATGTATAAGCAATGAAAGAAACTAGAAATGATAGATTTGCATAGCATAAAATGCCCAAAATCAGTGGCTCTTATATCTATTGGCTCTTTACATTAATCTTGGCTTAACCTAAATGCAAATGCCAGTGCCACTAATAATACTAAAAAGCCACAATGTCGGAATCATGGCGCTGCAAAAAGGTGGAATCATATATACTCCAAATCTTTGGTGCCCTTAATTAGTGAGACAGAGCATCATACTTGATTCTTGAACACAAAAATCTTCAAATTCTTCTCTAATTAATTTTTTTTCAAATTCCCTTCTAACTAATTCTCAGCTAAAAATCAATAACAGTTTAACCAAATTAGTATTCAATAATTTAAAAATATTAATTTAGGGTTAAAATCAAAATTTCCCAAAATTTTGTAATATCAAATTGTTAACTTTCTAATATATCCCAAAAAAATTTTAAAATAAAAATAAAAAAATTCTCAGCCAAAGGCCGAATTAAAAACATCCTCAAGACTAAACCACAAAGTATTCATGAATTATTTATGCAAAGGCATCATCACCTTCATTCGTCGAAGCTAGAGCTCAGCCAATTAAAACAGGCCCAAATTTTGGGAGATAGTGAGATACCCCATTTTGAGATCTTACTTTAATGGTTTGTTGGTGGAACTGTTGAGTCATCAGTTAAGTTAAGCCACTTAATATCATTTAAAAAATTAATGAACAAATTATATCGGTTTCTACAAAACTAGAGAGTCACCCATTCATTAGCTACACTGTCTTCTAAATCACTTCACTCTATGATTCCTTGTCCCTCTCCGACATTGTTGATATGAGATTCTAAAATATTTTTCTTGATTCATTGCTTAGATATTTTTAGGTTAATTGATGTTATTGAAGTTATCATTACATGTCAATTCCATTTTATCCATGATCTAATGAAATACTTGTTCTATGATTACTAGATGAAAATAGGGTAGACTGGAAAGGCGTTGTGATTAATTGTAGAAAATAAACTTTGTTATTCCAAATATGAATTACTTATTTTATTAGTGAAATAAAGTTTACTAAAAAAATTAGCATTAGGATTGCTCTCAAAGAAACATGTTACAATAAAATTTATATCACTTTAAATATATATTGACAATGTCATGAAACATGTAAAACTTCTAAAACAACAAATTTTAGGTTAAAATTTTTAAATAAATTTATTATAATAATAAAATTAATTCTGGGTTTGGATTTAGCATTATAAATTACTACCTTATATTACGAATAACAAATATTAGATCATTAATTTGAAATTCATCTTCCTCTGAAAACTAACATTAGAGACAAACGTCCACCTAAACTGTGCTCCTTTTGGTTTTATCATTGAAGTCATGTGTAATGGATGATTAAGACTTGCACAGACAACAAAATTTTCTACGGTAAGAATATCTCTCATATTATCAAGTATTAATATTACAATCTTCTAGACATATACATGGATGGACAATAGCCCCATGATTTTTTATTTTCCTTTGGCCATGACAGTAGCCCCTTGTTTGACAAAGCCAACAGAAGAACTTCCGAAGAAGACAACCTAAATTTACCTAATTATGTGACTATCTTGAAAAGATTGAATGGAAATATCCCTGCACTTTAAACTGCCTTAATTATTACCTGCGCAAATTGTCAATGACTAATCCTATTGGACTTGGTCTGAGTTACTTTACGGTTTAGGGAATTTCACTACAGATAAAAATGAAGAAAAAAAATCACCGGATATCGAATTTGACTCCTTATTTGTTACCGATAAACCTAGTGGCTAGTGGCGATGAGATGGTTTTACAGCACTCTAAGGTAACATCTAATTGGATAGAATTTGCCTAGGTAAATTCTGCAGGCAGCAGGGTTTCAGATACCAATCAAAATGTTAAGATTAGTAAAAATAAAATATTATCTTTAAAAAATATTAATTTTATTTAATTTAATTGATAAAAATAATAATAATAACTATAATTATTAATTAATAAATTGATATTTTCAAATATTATTTATTTAAAAAAACTAAAATATTAAAATATTAAGGTTATTAAAAATTATGAAATATTATCTTTAAAAATATTAATTTAAAAATTAATAAAAATAACTAATAATAGTAATTATAATTAGTAACTAATAATTAATAAAATAATTAATATTTATTAATTAATAAATTAAAATCAATCAATAAATTGATATTTTCAAATACTATTTAATAAAAAAATTAAAAACTTAATAGCCTCAACATTTTTATAGTTGCAATAGCCACACCCCAAGATTTGCTAGTAAAATTCTTGACGCATTTCATGATTCTTAAGGTGAATATTTCTACCAAAACTACCTTGAGAGATGGAGAAGGAAAAGATGGAAAACTGATAATGCTGAAAGATGAAAAGGTTCAAATATGTCATTTGCCAAGTCTTTAAACATCCCATAAAAAGGCAAATTTTTCCCAGCATGCCAAAAGCATAGAAGTTCAGGAATTAATATTCCTGCAAATAAGGACAACACAATGTCACAAGGAACTGTTCTAGCGATAAAGTATGATTCAAGGTTGATACTCAGAGACCTAATCCAACAGTGCGTCCATCTCTTCTCCTGAGTCCGGCAGTATACTGTTTCTCCAAGTCCAAGTCCAGCTGAAGTTCCCTCTGCTTCTCGGCTTGGAGGTGACCATTGCCATCTTGATTGTTTGGCTGCTGCTCCACCTTCAGCTCGCCTTTCACACCCTACAATTGGCAATAGGTACCAAGGCAACCTCAGACTCTAAAACTGTGTTAGTAAGTGAACAAACTCTTGCTGAGAGAATGTATAGGAACATGCAGCAGTAGGCTCCATGCAATTTTGTTTGTTAGTGGTAAATTATCAAACAATTAAATTTCTCAGACATGAAAACCAAAGGGAAACAAGGAAGAATGAGATTTACCATGAGTTTATTGAATTTTTCTTGTCGTTCACGATCACCAAACATTGCAGTATCCCAGTGATGGCCAGTCTGCAGAAAAGGAGAGGGATTGAACCAAATATTTAGATTTTAGGACACAGCAAGTACAGGCAGAAAGATGGGAGAAAAATTCATCAGATGAACCTCGTCTGTTGTTGTGTTCTTCTTGTTTCCCCATAGCAGCTTCTTCTTTTGGTCAGCAGTCATAAAACCCACCCCAACAAGGTTCTTATTAACTGCAACATGAAGAAATCACATGTGAGGTCAGGAAGGCTTTGCATATATCAAGATACATAGTATTTAAATAGGGTGAAGCCTAGAGATATCTTTTCCATCTCAATTCCAGCAGAAAACCCATGTAACCAGCCAGCTTTGAATCATTATTACCATAAAACCCAAACAGATCACCAATCAGACTTAAAACTAACACTTATAACATAGCATTATGAGTAACCTAACCTGATAAATTAGTTCTCAATGTTAAGTTGTTAACCCTTCATTAAAATTTTACTTTTCTTGTCTATGTCATATTTGATGGTTGCACATGGCAGTTACTCAACCTTCAACTTGTCCATGTAACTTTACCTGTTCTGCCCTCAAATATCCAAGATAAAGCCAGCAAATGCCTAATTTGCTTGCTGCCCCTTGTTTCCAGCCCCAAATGAACTTTGTGACAGTTGAAATTGACAAACTTTTTAACTCTAAAATACTTGACTTGGCAACATATATGGTTAAAATTAGCACCCATTGACGATAGACATGAGATTCTGCTATATCAGTTAAAAGACAAAGATGCTTCTCCATATTGCTTACTATCTAAGTTATTGAATGTGTACAAAAAAATGGAGATGAAAAGACCACAAAGTTTAAAAATAGCTGTTTGACTCATAAAGATAAAAAGAATAATATAGGATATACACAAAGGAATCCATGTCAAGAATTGTACAGACCTAGCTCAGCAGCTTTCATTGCAGCAACTTTTGCAGCATTTAGGTCATTAGTGGCCTCAGAGTCATTGCCATGTACCTCTCCTGCAATACCTCTACTACCACTCTCCTGAGCCTTGTCTAAACTTGATGTCTGCTTTTCATCAGCTACAATTGGGTAGACTTGGACATTAATCAAACAATAGTAGAGAAATTACAAGATCTATTGAATGATTGCAAAACAGATGAGAAAATTCATTGAGTATAAAATCAAACATAGTCCACGACAACAAAAAAAAAAATAAAAACTATCAAAAGAAACTACTACCATCTTTACCATAATCAGTGGTGCCCTTGCTGGAACTAAAATGCTTTGGTTTTTTAGCTGGTGATTCTTCATTTTCACTTGCAAAGATGGACTTCTCCACTGGTACCCTAATGTTTTGATCCTTATCCCCGCAAGCTTCCAGTTCATCATACTTCTCCCCTTTAAAGCGATATTTATCATTGTCCCTCCCAGAAGAGGAATCGTGTCGATGGCCCCTGGATTCTTCATAGGAAGCCAGACGATGACTTTTATGGTCTTCTGAACTTCTATAATAATCCCTTTTTTCATCTCGATCATCTCTGTCCCGTCTCTTTACAGGTCCAGCTCTGTCAAAAGATAAATCCCTATCTTTATATTTGTGAGACTCTTTGTCCTTCTCCTTGCTTCTATTTCCTGAACCATCATGTCCATCATGGGAATATCTGTCCTCCTTTGATGAGTAGTTTCTAGACCTACTATGCTCACTTTCTTCTCTTGTACGATCAGAACGACTGCTACCTCTTGACTCCCTACCAGAGCGAGAAGAATACCTATCATAATGTCTATCACTATCGTCTACACGCTTGTCAGGTTTCACACGGTCATCTTGCCTAGAATAACCATGGGAACTCCTTGATGACTGTCGTTCATAATGTCTATATGAATCACCATTTCTGCCATCATCTTTCCTTCTTGATCGATATTCAGAATCTTTTGCAGTATCTTCCTTCAAAAGGACAGGACTGGAGTTATGGTCACGATGAGGACTGCCTGTATGTTAAAGACTGTATGAGGCCTTTAGATACAATAAGTTTTCTACTCATGCTTCAGCATAACATAACTAGTACACAATCAGCCAAAAAGATAGAAAGATTACTTATCCCAAAGCTCTACACAAAGCCTAATACTACCAGCAGTAAGGAAAATAAACTGACAGGCTTACATAATAACAACATATTACATCCACCAGGTCCATAAGCTAGGCATTTATCAAAATCAAGTAATTTTCACTAGAATGACTAAGCATCAATTTGGGTATATTAACAACATAATAATGAATAACATGAGGTTTGCTATGGCATATCCATCACTAGAAAGTCCAATTACAAACACAATTGCAAGTGATAGATTCAGTCTCATTGTATATATTAAATACCACTCAATTTAATATCTAAATCATTTTACAGCTTCTTCACTAAAGGGAAGAACTAATGGTACCCCATTACCAAAGATGAAGGAAGTTGAAGATGTCAAAAAAACAAAGGCAAGTAAGTTTGGTCATGGAATGGAAGTTGAAGATGCATAGAAAAAACAATGCCAGCAGCTTGCACAGTGAATCAATCATGCATCTGTAGCTGCTACCCATTTTTCTTTAGGCCCACAAAATATGTTTAGAAGAATCATATTATAAAGTAAAGTCACAATTGCTGCTAAAACTTTGTAGATGGATACAATCATCCACTTTCTACTTCCAGTATAAAGGTTGAATTGAAAATGCATAGAAAAAGCAATCCCAGCTGCTTGCAAATCCAATCAATTAGCACAAAATTCCTACCTGTGGTTACCCAAACTTTGTTGATACTCTTTGAAAAAATAATAATAAATAAATAAACTAAGTCTAAAAAACTCAGAAAGCAGATGGAGCTCTCATGCTGTCAAAGCTCAATCCTACTCTTTACCAAACAAATATCACATGAATCTTTATTATCAATCTGGGAAATAAAAATTTTTCAAAAATTTTGATTTTTCCTTCAGGCTCACAAAATATATTTAGAAGAATCATACGGTAAGTCACAATTGCTGCTAAAACTTTGTAAATGAATAGAATTGTCCACTTTCCACTTCAAGTTGGACTTATTTCTCATAGAATAATCTCCTTCCTTCAGGTTATATCCAAGAGAAAGTTTAGTTCTCTCTATGTCATGTCTCTTCTCTAACAATAAGCTCTCCTTTAACCCAATCACATCCCATCATTATGTCCTCCCCTACCCTTCTCATGTTCTTTCTAAGTAAAATTGAATAATTAATGAAACCAAATCATGCAGAACCACAACTACCAAAATTCAAAAAAGTTCACCTCTCAACCAGTAATCGATAATAAGACCCTACATAAACAAGTACCTTCAGACGAAGACGACCCACCAACTGGAGAACGGCGCCGATACTTCCTGTTAGCTGCATCATTTGAAGGCTTGCGAAATGCTGTTTTGGTGTTAGAACCATCACCAGGAGGAGACGGCAACTTTGAATCCATCAAGTCTATTACCTGAAAATAGAACAAATCATCAAAACATAACCAAAATTATTACCTTTTATACATAAAAGAAAACCCAGAAACCTAATTAAAAAAGGGAGTAAAAGAAATCGAGCCGAGCTCCCTAGGGTTTAAGCAGGTACCAAGCAATCAAACAAAGAAAATTCACCAAATCTAGGGTTTCAGAAAACATTTAATTCAAGATAACAGCAACGAAAACCTAGAAGAGATTGATGGAAATGGAAATCGACCCTGAGTTTGCGGCTTCGTTTCGAATTTAATCGAAGGAAATTTTGTTCATGAGTTGGAGCGGTTGGTTCTTACTACTATGTTTGCTTCTCGACAAATTTTTATGGTTAAATGGCCGAAAAGAGAATGTTAGTCCATATACTTTTCGAATTACTTGAAATCCACCCCTCAACTTTTTTGTGAAATTTTTTAATCTCAAACTTTAATATTGAAATAAATCAACTCATATGTTTTTTTATTGAAATAAATCAGTTCAAAGTTAATAAATAATGTCATGACATGTCACATTTTCATTAAATTCATTTTAAGTATATTATGCTATAAAACAAACTAACCTATGTACTTTTCAAATTATTTAAAATCTATCCCTCTATTTTTTTTCAAAAATTTTTAACCCACGTACTTTTTAATTAAAATAAATCAACCTAAAATTTTACGAAATCTAGTTCAAACCTATTAAACCTATTATATCTTGATGATTTGGCATGTGTGAGTCTAATTTTTTTGTGATATGGATTATTTTTAATCCCAATTGAACATATTTTGATAATGATAAAAATACATCCTTTTAATCTCTTTATTTAATGACAAAAATATCCTTCTTTCCTTTGTTTTTAAATTGGGAATTTGCAACTTAAGGTTTCAAGTTTGGCTGCATCTTCTTCTTCTCATTTACTATCATTTTAAGTAAACATTGGCTCTAAGTGATGTTAGGTACTTGAACCACTCACTTTAGAATTGACACAGCCTCATCAAACCTCCTTAGGCTATGGTAAATCATAGCAAATATGTGCAATCTCATAATGAGATTTAAGTTGGGTTAGGTTTCGACTTGGCACCTCTTGAAAGATTTGGCAACCTAAATGGCATAATCTAGAGCCTTAGTGGGACTCTCACCGGATACAATGCTACTAAGTTCTTGGAATTTTAAAGGAGATTTAGGACTTACAAAAACAGCAACATGAATGACTAAACCAAACCTTACGTCCCAAAAAATGATCGTGAATGAGAATAGAAGGGTATTTTTATCATTGAACAAAGATATTAAACTAATACATTTTTTTGTCATGTCATCAACATATATCCAACTTGATTAAAAATAATCCATCACATAAAAAATACGACCCATGCATGCCAAAATATCAAGACTTAATGAGTCTGAAATGGGTTCCACAAAAATGTGACATGATATGATGTTATCTATTAAATTTAG